GGGGGGGGGGGGAATGGAGATTTTGCAGTATCCTTCCCCTGCCATGCCCACCAAGCCACGCCCACCAAGCCACACCATGCTCACCAGCCACGCCCACAGAACCGGTAGTAAAAAAATTTGAATCCCACCACTGAGCTCAACTCTTAACATAGAGATAAACTTGAAACATATATGCACTACAATAATCTTTGATAACTAAATAACAGATAATACAAGGGATAAATACTTAAATTTACCATAGAAACTAAGCAATATTTCTATCTATTCTTTTGATTGTAATCTTAATTCCCATTATAAATGGTTCCAACAAATCCAATAAAAGCCAACAAATTAAAATCACTTAAAAACATTCAATAACATTAATTAATTAGACCACTTCCACTCTAATAGATTGCATCCTGACAATGGACAATGATAAATATTATGATAATTATTTAGCTTCATTATATTACTCAGAATCCTTTGGAATCCTCTGATAAAACCTGAGCACACTATTGGTCAACTTCTAGCATAGCTGTCATATTTATCAGAGCACACAAGCTCCACAACCACAACATCAAGGTAGTGCCTCACTTGGGGTATGCTACATATTTTTATTTACATTTATTATAACCACATATCGGAGGTGGGGCAGCTATAATAAATGTGAATAAAAATAGGAACATGACAGCCATGCTAGAAGTTAAACAATACTTCATCAGCGGATCCAGATGAAGAGTGTTTGTCTCATTAAAAAAAATTGATGAGATGTAATTTACAAAAGCCCATATCGGATTGGTTATTTCACTGGTCAACAAGGACTGCATTACACATTAGAATTCTTCTAGTGAAAAGGGGCTACAGGACTCAGGGCTGTTGGTGGAGTAACCAAAGCCAGCAGCTGCAGGATTATTTGAAGAAAAGTTGTTGACCCATCACAAATATATTTAAGATAGAAAAACAAGAAATAGTCCTGTGAACATAGTAATACCAGTTGAATTCCACCCCTGACACCAGATATTATGGTTGTTGAGGGCCAAAACATACAATGTATTGATATCGCTGTACCAGGAGACGCCAAAGTCGGAAAAAAAGAACTGGAAAAACTCATGAAATATCGCAACCTGGCCATCGAAACTACGCGGTTATGGATGAAACATGTAGCAGTGATACCCAGGGCATTTGATCACCAGGACATTTAATACCATGTCCAAAAATTTTACAAAACACATCAAGAAATTGTAGCTTTCTGAAATAACACTAGCGGAACTGCAAAAAAATATGCTACTTGGAACATCGTATATTTTAAGAAGATACTTGGTTGATACTTAAGACGCTGACAGCAACCCATATTAGTCATGAGCACCAGTCAATAGTTTTTGTGATACATTTTTAAATGTTCAGTTAACTGAATTTCATGTTTAATGAATAAAAAAGATAGTAGTAGTAGTAGTAGTAGTAGTAGTAGTAGTAGTAGTAGTAGTACAAAGGCCTTCCTAACTAAAATGTTGTCTGCTACCAAGAGAAGAATAACAAAAAAGTATATAGCTTAACTTCCCTTGGCAGAGTTCCCAGAATATTTGTAAATATTTTCAACTTCATAAACTTGTTAATCCCATACAGACCTAAACGTGATTAATTCCTATTGAAGGCAATTATTTTGACATGAGATTTGTTCTTGCCTTTTAAAGATCTTAGCAGTAAAGTAATTAGCATATATTAATTATTTGAAAACCATAGCATCAATCACATACCTTTACAACAACTTGGTTCATTTTGATTATCATCTCATACCATGGTTTGATATGATTCACCAAATATATTGGACCAAATGCAAAAAAGTTTTTTATTTTCTCAGCTAATGCTGGCATAGCTGAAAATGCAATGAATCCTAAGTATAAAGAAAATTAATGATTATTCAGAACCATTACAAGTCACAGCTTGTTTATGATAGACATACTATATTTGCTAGAGCAGTAAGCAATTAGTATATCCACACAATCTGATGAAGATAAATCCCTCAACTGAACATTATCCTGAAGGAACTTCTACAACTGTTTTGCAAAAGAATTCAAATGTATTTTCATTGACTGATTTCCTATCAATTTACCACCCTGAGACATCCTTAGTTAGAATATTATATTATATTATTATTATATTATATTCTTTTGCATGAGGCTTTTTATATCCATCATATTTTATTACTAGTTATTTTTAAAAGTAATTTATTCTATTCTTACATGTTGTACTTGGATGATTTGATTTTTCCTCCCTTTTCACATGTGACCTTCCTATTCACTTTTTTTTTCTTTTAACAATCCTGCAATCCCTTGCATTGGGATGGAGTAAGGGCAACTGATGGAGCTGAGCGTTTACTGGCCGGATGCCCTTCCTGATGCCTAACCGGAGCTCATAAAAGATATTTTCTCTTTATGCCCAGAGAGAGAAATATCTGCCGCTACCTAGGATCAAACTCACAGCCTCCTGATTGTGAGCTCTACCTCTAGGCCACCATGCTTCTCATAACCCTCCTATCCATTGATTAAGTAATAACGGCTTAATATCCACATTACACATTGGAATTTAACCCAGTCATAGAAGATTTCCTTGAATATGGAGGATTCTATACAGATACGAAGGATTGAATTAAAGGCTATTTGTTTGAAATGCAAATTAAAGAGATGTTGTTTTGTTTTTGTTCTGTTTTAGTGATAGCAATCCCATTCCATTTGGAATGTCATATAACCCAACCCATCCAAGGATATGGGTCAATAAAGATTATGTATGTTTATGTCTTATGTACTGATTTCACTTCATTCACACTTTCCATTATTTTGTCCCCAATAAATTGTTCAATTACTTCTTCATGGTATGATTAAATAAACCATTCTCCTATAAATCTAAACAAAAAGAAAATAAAAATGGAGAATATAGTTAAATATATACTGTAAGAATTGACACTTAGAAGTCTATAGCTTTGTCCAGTTTGCATCCCACCAGAAATTACCACAGCTGAATGAGATCAGATAACATGTGCTGCTACCAAGCCACAGTGTTGTCATCTGCATCATGATGTCATTGCATCGTTTGCCTGATGCCATTAAGATGCTGATCATGTCACTTGTCCTTCCACCCGCCACGCTTCCCTTCTCACCCCTGTAAAAATACAAGAACTTACCTAGAGTGGATCCTTGGGAATAGCCAACATAAGAAAGCTGTTTCTGTCCAGTTTTAGCTAGGATAAAATATATAATAGCTGGCAGATCTTCCATTGCCATTTCATGAAAACTGAAACAAAATAGAGTCAATCAATCACTCAATCAAATCTTTGTTACGGTCCTAGCCAAATATAAGAAGGGTGACATATAAACAATTAATAATTTTAAAATCTAAGAAACGTAAAATATATAAAGTTATTTTTTAAAAAACAAACAAACCTAAAAGGTATATACATATATAAAACTATAAAAAGAATTAAAAATGTAAAAGAATTACATGGCTGACTAAATGTATTATAATACAAAACAATGAACTGGATAATGAAACTTATATCACTATAGCAATATGTGGTAAGCGACTCAAACTATCTCTCTTCCCTGATTATATATGCATTAATTGTGCATATAATTGCTTGTTTGTCATGGTACTATAGGATGGGAATCATAATCTAACAGAAATGTAAAATAAAACAATCACATATCCAGTTGGGGGAAGGAAATCTATGGAAGAAGGGGACTTTCAAGAAAGTCAGGATAGTGAGCATGACTGGTGTCCATGACAATCAAAGCCCTTCCCTCTTTTTGTGTGCATTGTGACATGTTAAAAAAAAAGATAGGATTTTGATTGCACAATCATAGCTACCTTCTTGAATTTTTTTCTCTCTCTTGTGGATGCCCTTGACTGCTGATGAAGATGGATGCTTCTATGACTGTCCAATCAGACCCATGGCACAGTCTAAGGCTTTGGACTTTTCCTTTCAAGTCAACAACATGGCATGATCCATCTTTTGTATTTCTTTCACATTGAAGTTTATTACTCCCTCCCCCCACCCGTAGCACCAAATATTTTAACTTACCTGAAATTCCAGAATTCTTCTTCTTTATGTGAAAAGTGCTGGTGTCTTTTACACCATCTGCTTCCTCGATTATTTGCCAACCAAATATCAAAGCCAGCATCTGCCAGTACAAAACCTAAGCTGCCATTGGGCACATTAGTCAGCCATATTCCACAATCAGTAAGAACACCTGGCATCAGTAACACAACAGGTTTTGAAGCTGAAAACAAAACCAAAAAAAAAGGAAAGGAAGAAAAGGGTAGACAAGAAAGCAAGACATTTCAACGAGAAAAAAATGTAATTTCATAGTTGGGCTTTTGTAATCAGCCCAGATTCTGAATAAAATTCAGAATCTGGCCTGATTACAACTGAGCTATAAATCTGCAAACCATAATAACATTATAAGGCAAAAAACAGTAAAACATTTGCTTTGGCTTAATACTTTGTTTGTTTATTATATTTGTATAACTGCTTATCTCACATAAAAGTGAGTCTGGGTGGCATTATGATACTATATAAGTCTAAAAATGAGGTTATGTTCTTTCCTGTTTTCCCATGTTAATTTAAATGAAATGATTAACATGTAGTTTACTCATTAAGACAATCTTGAGATTCTTTGATTAATATCTAGACCCGGGGAAATCCCAAAACGTTCCTATTATATGATATCACAATATCATGGAAAATGAAATGAACTTGGAACCACGTGTGTTTTGGTTTTTGTGTCCATTTGTTTTCAGGATGACTTCTGTTTCCCAGAACAAATAAATTATTTCAAAGGATCTCCCCCTTTAAATGAAAGGGTTTTCTCACTGCAGTATTTCTACAGATGTAAGAATGTAAATAGGATATTTCAAAAGAACAAATAAGTATTAATAAACTTTGCTTTTGTGAACTGTAAATGCAAAAAGAAACCTGTTTTCTCCAAGGCTTTCCTTCGAAGTATTCTGTTGATAGTAAGAAAGTAACCATCATTTGTCAGTATTTCATGTTCCTCATTAGGATAACCATGATATTGTAAGACCTCACTCTGGAAAGGGATATAAAAAAGATGCTCCATTCAAAACCTTGCCTTAAATCTGTCACATGTTGGATATTAATAAAGAAAAAAAATCCAATAGTTTCACCCACCCACACCCATATCCACATCCAAACAGAGGGAGGAGGGAGAGAGAGAGAGAGAGAGATGCAATCAGTCTTGTTTCACTTTTAACCTTACAGTAACTTTTATTACCCTTACAAAATACAATCTTAGCTAGTATAGAAATATAAACCTCAGGTGACTAAGATTATCATCTTTAATCATAAGGTTTTGTACCAGCTAGATTTGCCTGTGAAATTGGTAGGATTTAACCTGTCCTTCAACTGATGAGAATATTAATAACAGCAATGTCTCTACATATTATAAGAAGCCAGTCTCACAAATGAAAAAGTGACCTTTTGTGGGTAAACTCTTCAGCATTTGGAAGAACAATTTTGATAGATATGTTCCAGTCTAACAGGAGACCAAAGGCAATGATTAGAATCTTCCACTAAATCAAAGCTGAAGCTGCTTTCCATAGCAGCTTGCCAGTTTGTCTCCTGTATAAGATTACCAAAAATCTGTATCTTTAGCTTCCTTTAACCCATATGATGGATCGTTATTTCTGATTGCAATAATGACCTACACATTTTTGGTTGATCTAAAGAATGAAGTATTACATTCTCAGAATTAGTATAAGTTCCAGGGAGATTTGAGTTGACATCAAAAAAGTCATAATATCTTATCACCTCTTCATTGCTCTACCTTATCTTTATTGAAAAGTGTACCATTACAGTAAGAATCCTTTAGTCTATATAAAAAGACTGTATTCCATGAAAGATTTCTTTTTAGCCAAACCAGAATAAAGATCCCAATAAAAATAGGTTATCAAAGGAATAAAAAGAGAAATATCATGTATCAAAACTGTGTATTTATTATTCCAAATTTGGAGACTATTGAATATTAAGAGTAAATGTTTTAGTGAAAATATTTTCAATCTGTTTTATTCCAGAAAAATGTTTCAGGTAAAAAACAACAACATTGATTTATAAATTGCTAAATGTCTACGGAGATTCTCAGTCATCCAGGTCATCAAGATATCAAGCAGAACTCAAGAATCCCAAAGGTGCTTTTTTCAGGAGGTAATTGGTCTTTCTTTTGTTTTTCCTTGAAGATGTTTCACTTCTCATCCAAGAAGCTTCTTCAGCTCTGGATGAGAGCTGAAGAAGCTTATTGGTTGAGGAGCAAAACGTCTTCAAAGAAAAACTAGAAAGTCCAGCAGCCTCTTGAAAAAGCACTGTTGGGACTGATTTATAAACAGGGGTAGGATTCAATTTTTTTAACAACTGGTTCTATGGACATGGCTTAGTTGGTGGGCATGGCTTGGTGGTCATGTGACTGGGTGGACGTGGCTTGTTATTGGCTGGACATGGCCAACTAAATATCACTCTCATCAAGGCATGCATCTCCTCACCTGGCCTCTCATGACTGTGGGGATGCTGCAACAGTCTAAGTGTGAAAAATGGTCATAAGTCACTTTTTTCAGTGCCATTGTAACTTTGAATGGTCACTCCACACAAGCAAAGTATCAGCAAAGGATGGGGAAAAAAAACTCCAGAGAAGTTCCTGAGACAGGAAGTCTAGTCCTGCCAAGAATGTAATAAGAGTTAAAGGAGAGGCAGTTTCTGTAAGCAACACCAGAATGTTTCCTTCCTGCCTTCCTTACAGGATTAGGCCAGTAATTTCTTCTAACAACCGGTTCTCCAAACTGCTTAGAATGTTAACAAACAGTTCTAGTGAATAGGTGTGAACCGGTAGAATCCCACCCCTGTTTATACACTTATTTGACTCTAACTAGTTTCAATCCAAATCCAGTGATTAGAAGAGCCCTCCATAATAAATGAACTAACCTGCCACTTGATAATGTAATAACAAATTGGGCATGCTCCTGCCTCTTGAGGTGGAAGAGGTTTCTGAAGAGTTTCAGAGAAGTCAAGATAGCATCTACAATAGTGCAATCGGTGGTTGCACCACTGTAAGATCTAAGTCAGGTACAGATAAATCAAAATCTCTGAACTCAAAATAATATTCCAACTCAAATAGGAATGTTAAATGATACCAATAGACAAATGGTAATAAATTAAAAATAGGTCAGAGAAAAAGGGTTTAACTTTAACTTTTTTAATTTATTGTTTTACATTGTTTTGTTTTGTTTTATTTTTTTGCTCTTAAAAGCTGACCAGTGATTGAATGGTGGACTCTTTTTTATTTTTATTTTCCTTTATGTTTTTTCTCCCTTTTTCCTATGAAGACTGATGAAGATTGGAGAGTGGATTTATTACACCTAACTGGAAGCCACTTCTATTGGGGCTTTGTTGGGAAGATAGACCCATTGTGGGGACTGAATTTATTTAATTAGATAACAACTGATAAAAGATGGCATCAAGAAACAAGCATGGATATTTAATCCAGGATGAATTACTTTTAACTTTTGGGATGAGTTGGGATAGACGTTGTGGCAAACTTTCTATGGGTAGATTACAATAACATTTTCTTAACAGAGAGTTTTGAGACCTTAATCTTGTCATTATTTTTATTATTACCATTATTATTATTAACTATGTTGTCATTAATATAATATGTAAAAGACAGATCAATAATTTTCAAGTAGATTTACTGGTTTAAATTTTTTGGGGGGAGGCTTATTTTGCAAGGGGTAGGAACTAATATTGTAGTAATGTATTAATCAGTATTCAGTTAGGGAGGATAATATATGTATATGTTTTTTTTTCCTTTCATTTTGATACACTTTTTAAAAATGTCTTGATTGTTTTATATTTTGCCCCTTTGGAATTTTTTTTAGAGTTTTGTATTTTAACTTTCTTTTGAATACAATAAAAAATAGGGAGGGGAATATGATAAGCAACAGAAGAAAAATCAGTAAAGGTTCTAATTAAGGAATGCCAGCCAACCTGGGAAATGACACAGAGGACACGAAGATGTTCCACAGATGTACAAACTATGGTCCTATTTCACAGACTGGCAAAATAATGTTTAGGATCAATTAGTTCAGATTACAACCCTACATGAAGAAAGAACCTTGGACACCCAACATGGTAAAGGGGAAATAAAGAGGAAAAAGAGATGCAGGATATTTAATCTGGCTTTAAAAGAAATCCAAGGAACATGAAATATTGGTACATAATTGAAAAAGTCAAAGAGTACCAGAGGGAAATCAATATATGCTTTATGAATCCTAGAAAGGCCTTTGATTGTGCCTATCATTATTAAGTTATAGAATGTCCTTAGAAAAATGCGATTCCCAGAACATTACATTGACTTCATGAGAAATCTACCAGTTAGATGATAGATAGATAGATAGATAGATAGATAGATAGATAGATAGATAGATAGATAGA